GTAATAAAAGAAATAACAAAATAAAGAAGACAACTAAGATTAGAACCAGAAGTAGTCAAATAAAACAAAAAAAATTTTATAAAAAAACAAAAAAAAGAACAAGCATAAATGCTTAACTGACAAGCGTTTCACTGGAAGAGATACTGAAGTAAGGCTGTTTTGAAAGACATAAAAGAAGAAAGACAAATAACTGACTCTGGAAGATTATTCCAATCAGTAATAGTTGAATAAAAAAATGAAGAATGAACCGTTTGTGGAGAAAAACCATCAACATCCTTGAGAAAGGTCGAAACCCGTCGTGTTATTTTCTTTTGATTCTACCAGAAATTAGTTCTATTTATAAGGAAAGCTGTATACTATTATACGATTTTACCTTCGATTTCTCATAATTTTACCGTTACGAAATAACTACTATTTGAACTTATTAAAACGACTAATATCTAATTTGAAAAACTTCACTAAATTCACACACTTCTGTAGAACATAAAGTGCAGTTGATCGCATATTTTTTACTTCTCATCTCTATACTCAACTTCTACAAGTTAAGCAACAGCTTAAAAATTTTACAGCAACGAAGCATTAAAGAACAGTTGTTCTAGCTTGAGTTCGCATTGACCAAAAAGCCTACACAGAAAAATAGGGCGCTAAATAACGTTACAAATAGAGATTCTTACGGATCCATGACGTTTTTGTTTAGCCAAAAATCTGCTTGAGAATGATATGTTCTACCGACTAATTGTTATTATGTCTTCTTATTAATTTAATCCCAAGCACCATTTTCATCACAGACGCCATGATTTCTATTCTTGTCATTCTGGTCGCTAAGCGTTACCATTCAAACGTATTGCCTTTTTATTAGCTAGTAAACAGACGACTGTAGCATACAATATCCAATAGTTATATGAAATTAAAATAAGTGTTCGATAACTGTTCTTCTGATCATGTCGCAGCTATCAGTCTATTTTCAGCATGAAATAAAAAACGTTGATCCGTATTTCGATCAATCACTAAAAGGAAGTGCAAAATTCATGATAGAGACAAAAGCGAGATTTAAAGGGATGAAAATAACTGACCAGTATAATCCACCAGAAGCTAGCCCAAAATTTTTGCAGCCCAATCAGATTCTGGCCAACCAAAAGAGAGTCTACAAAATACCTGTTTCTTCTGCATAGCAACAAGAATTTAGTATGCATACCAAATTCACTTCGACGACTACTATAGTGACACTGATGCAATGAAAATAATTTTGCTCGGATAAAATTCATTGGATGAATATCCGAAATGAGAGAGAAAATTTAATATAATTAAATAAAATTATTTTTCATCGCATCAGTGTCACTATAATGGAACATCATCTAAATGCAAGATAGAAGCGAGATTTATTAGCTCAGAGTACGGTTTTTTTAGAGTACGGTCTTGTTTTGCGTTTCCATTGTTCTTTCGCTTGCTGATAACTTTGTTTTGTAGCTTGTTTCTTTTGTTTCACATGATAATCAGCAGTACTGATCTCTAATGGTACTATTTTATCAGCAAGAACAGCCACAACTTGATCCAAGCGAGTATACACTTTCTTATTCAATATTACAGTTTTAACATAATTCATCCTTGATTCAGAACCACCAGTTGTTCGTTTGATAAGACAACCACAATGCATATAATTTGGCAAATTTTTATAACCATATCGAGATAAATCGCTCAATAATAAATTACTCCAAATTGGGGCTGTGCCCATGAATTTCTCCAACATGATTGTTAGAAAATCGGGACAATATACTGGATTATCCATCTCATTATCCCATATTTTATCATTATTGTAATTATTCACTGTTTTAGAAACTTCATTGTAAATCGTGGGAAAATCCATTTTGAATGGTGATTTCATTTCATGTATTATAATTACTTCATCAAGTGGCTCGTCTGGATCATCTTCATCGTTTATGTTACACTTAGACTAAAATAGAATACAGGTAATAGTGGCAAAACTTAGGTTTTCAATTACTTTAAAAAAACATCTGAATCATTTCTTAAGGTGAGAAATTTTAAAAACATTTTCAAATGCATCATCGAAAAACAAGTTGAAAAGAAACGTTTCTCAATGTTATGTCACGTACTAGAGTCGTGCCATAAGGGAGAAGATCATAGTTAAGGTTCTTGCGCAAGAATACCCAATGCTATGGTGCAAGAATATATTCAAGGTTATTGCGCAGACCCTAGTCAAGGTTATTGAGCAGAGTCTACTCAAGGTTATCGCGCAATATTTCTTATATAACTAGATCAATTTTATTGTTAAGAGGATATCTTTTTTATTTGTAAATAAACGTTAGGTAAGAAAGATCTTAGTTCACTCGGGAACCTAACAGTGGCGCACTAGCCGGCTTGCTGTCAATTCAACATCACAGTAAGTACAATCAAATCAACCACACAAATCAAAATGCAATAACGTTATTATCAACAACAAATCAAACAGCAGTCCAACCGAAAACCACGTTATACAGATGATGAATGGCAGCTGCTCTGGCTTTGGAACCCATGCTGCACTAAACAACAACGTTCTGCCACAAAAGAAAAATCACTAGTCCTGATCCACGTCCCAATACACGTATCAGGTCATTCATCGTCTTTTCGTTAATCTGCAAATTATCAGATATTTCGACATTATAATTAGCATCACAACGTTTGTTCGGATCTGAATTCACTTCAGCCACAAGTTTAGACACAATGGCCAATGACAATTTGAATAGCGCTGTCTGCTTTTTTGGCAATAATATAATACACATTTCTCTCCATATCTTCTTCATTTCCACCAATGTATTGGCATTAACTACTACACCACTTAACCACATCCCATAAGGAGCCTGCAAAAAAACAATTATAATCATTTCTCTCCTGATTTCCTTCAACAACTTATTCAGAAAGTTGTTCTAAATCGCCGCACATTTCATTTTCTTTACAACTAACATTCACTAAAGAAATTATAGGAGTCATCCATAGTTGTAAATCTTGGCATATTTCGTTAGCTTATCTTGAAACAGCTGATTATACAATAAGAGAAGAAATGGTAAAACAGGATTGAAAAATATCTTTATTAAATAAAACTGGCACAAATCGTACTATTTTAGGTATTGAAAATAGCGATATCCGGTGAAAAATATGCAATCGATTATAAATAGTACCTTGATATAATCCTAAAACTACAAAACCTATCTCAGATTCGTTTTTTTTCTTTTCAAAAAATATGCTTTCCTTCTCGAGATATCCCAGAAATGCTGAAAGTCACGCAAAAAAATCTGTAATCGATCGGATCATTTTTTTGAGGGATCGTAATATGACTGGATGAAAATCAGAGTTTTCTAGAAAACCCATAGAAGAACATGTCACAAAATTCTGTGCAAAAATACATCGATTTTCTTTTTCGATGTTCTATCTCTGTTATAAATTCCACCCCGATCCGATATCGGCGTTCCCGGTTTCCACGAGGGTCATAAAAGAGGGGGGGGTACCCTTAATATTAGAATTAGAACAATTTCTTGCCTCACGACAAACAATAACACAAACAAACTATGAATTACTAGGTAAAGTTTCTCTTCCGATAAACAAACACAACCAAAACATCCATTTTATCACTACACTGTTGATAAACTACAACAACAGAGTCAAGGTGAAAAACAATTTTATGAAAAATTAGAAGCATTAAACAATCAATTTAAATTATCATCAATGTTATGTCGTTGCCGTACACCCGATTATATATTAAAAATACTAAATAGAAAACACCAACAAGATAAGACGACAACATCGTGATTTAATTGATTCAAACATTGTTTGTTTAAATACATTTCCCATTTTATGTGTCTGATTATTATGATCTAGAAGACAACAAAAACAAATAGAGGATTACCACATCGAAAATGAATTCTTAAAAATGTAATGTTGAACAAGAAAGTGTATACTCGCTTGGATCTAATTGTGGCTGATCAGTACTGCTGATTGATTATCATGTAAAACAGAAGAAACAAGGTACAAAACAAAGTTATCGGCAAGTTATAAGTCGATGCTGATTATAATAATCTCTTCGTAAAAGGTATTTTACCAAAAACCGTACTCTGAACTAATAAATCTCTCTTCTATCTTGCATTTAGATGATGTTCCATTACAATTAAGAACACAAATAAAATTGAAACCAGTATCGATGTCGAATTTTATGTCAAATTGTTCGAAAACGGCGAAGAAGGTATGTGAGCATTATTATTCAGTTTCTGCATGCATCAGCTGGCTTTCTTAATAGTCCAAGTTGCACTCGCACAACTGCCTTACCAAACGACCGTGACCATCAACGAATATATCTCCGATCAAAAATTAAAGTTCATTTAGAGTTAAAGAAAAGTGCTTTTTCGTATTCAGCATACTTGATAACCTGGAAAATTTTCTATTTTTAGCGAGGGGTACCGCCAAAAAGTTAAGAAAAATTTTCAAAATTGTATAATTTTACCATGAGGATTTTTCTGCGTCAATTTGTTTGAAAATTTTTCTTAACTTTTTGGCGGTACCCCTCGCTAAAAAT